TCATGCAGTATTGTTTTCCATCTTTTGGCATTCAGTCTATGGATTTCTTTTGGGGTTGTGTTTCTTGCAAGAAACATATGGTTAGATTTTATTTCTTGATCCAATCTGCCAATCTGCTTCTTTTGATTAGTGAATTGAGACCATTTACATTGATGATTATAACTGATATATAGCCCTGTCATATAACTTTATTGTTTTTTGTTTCCTTTCTTTCCTCTTTATTTAATTGCTTTCCTTGTCTGGTGGATTGATTGTGTTGGGGTCCATGGAATCGTAGTCTTCATTATCTCTTTCTAGAATATTCTTCAGAATATATTTGAGTGCTTCAGAACATATTTGATTTGATAGTCATGAATTTTTTTAGCTCTTTGTTGTGGGAGTATCTTATTTCCCCATCAGTTTTGAAAGATAGTTTTGTGGGGTACATCAGTCTGTGTTGAATGTTGTTTTCTTTTAGGACTTGAAATATTTCACTCCACACTCTCCTGGACTTAAGGGTTTGTATTGAGAAGTCTGCTGTGATTCTGATGGGCTTTTTTTTCATAGGTGATTTGTTTCATTTCTCTAACAGCTTCTGATATTTTGTTTTTGTGTTGAATCTTTGGAATCTTGACTATTACATGGCTTAGTGTAGATTTTTCTGATTCTATCTAATTGGAGTTCTATGTTTCACTTTCTTGTATGTCAAATTCATTTTCCATGCTTGTGAAGTTTTCTGCCATTACTTGTATGAACTTTTATGTTCGTTGCACTAGCTCTGATTTTTCAATGATTTCAATAAACCTTATGTTATTCTTCTTTGCACAATGTAGCAGTTATTGGATTGATTTTTTGTGGTCCCTTGCTATTTTAAAGAAATATTTATTTTCATTGTTGCTAACCACAAACCTTTCTTCTAGATCTAATATTCTCCTCACCTTGGTTGATTCTGCTGCATATACTATTGTGTGTGTGTGTGTGTGTGTGTGTGTGTGTGTGTGTACCGGAGATCAAACTCAGGACCTTGCATTTATGAAGCAGGCAGTGGAACCACTGAGCTAAGCCCAGGCTGCATATGCTTTCAATAGAATTTTTAATGTCCTAGATTATCTGTTTCAATCTGTTTCATGGATTCCATTTCTTTCCTATGTCAGACATTTATGGTTTCCATCATTTTCCTAAGTGCTTCTATTTTTAAAAATCTGTATCTACTCTATATTCACTAACCATGTCTTTTATTATGACCATCATCTCTTCAGTTTTCTAAAAAATTACTTCTAATTCAACCATATTCATGAGCTTTGTTACTTATGCTATTACCATTTCAGACTGTTCAGGTGGGTGGGTTTCATATTGTCCCATCTCACTTCCTGTTGAATTTGCCTTAGGTCGCATAGAAGTTTGGGGTTGCATCTTATTCCTGTCTTATTTTATATCTTTTTTTTAAATTTAGTTTCTGCATTGATGCTTGTAAATTGCTTATGGTAAGAAGCTTTATTGGTAGTATCAAGAGCCCTTAGGAAATGACTACTTCTTAGAGAAGTCTTCCAGTTGTAGCTGGATTTTGGGTTTTGAGTATCTTGCAAGATCCTACCTCTTCAGTTTATTGGGGATGAGAAGTTGCTGCTTATTAGGCATAGCCCCTGGTTCTTTAGCACAGGCCTATAGTATTGTTTATGACACTCAGGCAATCTAGATCTTGGGATCCAAGGAAGAACAACTGATTAAAATAGCTATCTAACCTTGGCTAAAGTAGTACAATCAGCAATAACAGTATCATCGAGCACAGCCTAAAAAATGACAAATTATCAAAATTATTAATTTTCTGACTTTAACTGTATGAACAAGATTTGTAGTTATGTAACAAAATCTAAAACAAATCAGTAAACATCCCCTCACTATAGTGATTTTGCCCTTGGGAGAAAATTTGAGAAGGCTAAGGGGAAAAAAATAGAGAAATAGAAGAAAATAGAGATTAGAGGCAAGGATGAAGGACAAAGGAAGATTATTTAAGCTTTGGGAAACCGGTGAAGAAGACAGAGGGAAAGAAAGAAGGAAGAACAGAACAAAATTTAAAGAAACCTCTGGAAACAATGTTGAAACTCATATAAAAACAAGAACAGGCAATCAAGAAAAAGAAAAAAGAAGCAAAGAAAGGAAGATAAAAATTTTACTTTAGGGTGTGTCTCTGCTGTCACTGGTAAACAAAGAGGACAGACAGAGTCAGATCATTGTTGGTTGATCCCAGCAAGTGATAGAATTACAGAAAGGAGGTGAATAATCCCAGCAAATCTGACCTTTCAAGTCCACTGAAGTTCAGGTTGATCCTGGTTTCTGGCTCTGAGGCTGAGACTCAAGTTGTTCAGCTCACAACACTCCAGGTGCCTCTTGCCAGTTTCAGCTCAGCTCTTAGAACCTGGGTGTACCCCACAGCTATGTCTCACCCTGACACTGGGAGCCCCAAGGTGGAGCTAACCTACTGCTACTCTGACTCCCTGGTTCAGGTGGCCCCTTTCCAAAATGGCAGCCAGACAATCACCCTCTCCTGGGGATGTTTGAGTCAGAATCACTTACCAGCCACACCATCCACTGCTCCATTTTATTGGTACATTACTCAGTGGAGACCTCATGAGTCACCCATAGTCATGTGTCTCTATAGGTTCCAGTAACATCAATCACAATGTTAGCTAGGATTCATCGAGAGAAATGAAGAAAACTTCATTTGCTACATCCCTCTACTGCATTCAATCTCCTCTCTTCACTCTACTTGTGGGCTCTAATTCTCACTGCATATACTTGATGGGTCCCAAGAACCGTTTCTCTCCTTATGCTCGGCCCCATGTTGCTGTTTTCCAGTGTACAGACTACAAATCTCAGAGAAGCTGATTTTCTGCTGCTTACTACTCCACCATCTTTCAGAAAGTCCCCTAATTTAATCTTAATGAATGCAGAATATCACCCAAAAAACTGGCCATAAATGTAGCTCTAACACTAATCCTAGATCTATGTACAAAACTAATAATAACCATAACCCAAAACATAGCACTAACCCTAAACATAACTCTAGCCCTAAAGCTAAATCTAACCCTAATCATAATGTGAAAGCTATGTAAACCTAACCCTAACTCTAAAATTAACATAGCCATATCAAAAACCATAACTCTAAACCTAATCTCAAACCAAACCAAGCTTTAACCCTAATCCTAGTCTTACAACTAAATTTATCAATGTTTAAGCTCTCCCTAGCCTTAACAGTAACCCTAATCCTAGTAAAAAACTAACTAACCATAACCTTAAACTTAGTTTTATTGCTAGGTCTAACCATAGCCCTAATTCTAGTACTAATCTTGCCACTAATACTACCCCTAATCCTAGCACTAGCCACAGCCCTAAAGATAACACTAATTCTAACTGTAACCATAAACCCAGTAGTAATATTACACCTAACCCTAACACTAACCCTAAACCTACTCCTAACCCTAGCACTATCCGTAACCTTAAATCTGCCCCTAAAACTAACTCTAGCCATAGCCTTAACACTAAGCATAAACCTAACGCTAAACATGGCCTTGCCCAATACCTAGCCCTATCTTAATCCCAAGCCTTACTCTCACTCTAACCATAGCCCTAACCCTAACCTTAACCATAACCCTAAACCTAACCCTAATCCTAAACCTAACCATAATCCCAATAAGAATACTAGCTGTAACTCTAAACCAAACCCTACCCTAGCTCCATGCCTAATGCTAATCATAGTCCTAACCCTAAAACTAATCCTAACTGTTATAGTTACTTCCTCAATGCTAGGACAAAATACCCAACATCAACAAGTTAAAGGAGGAAAGATGTTTTTTAGCTTACAATTTGTAGAGGTTTCAGTCAGATGACTCCAAGAAAGAACATCATGACAGAGGGGCATGGTATAGGAGAAGGAGTCTATGAAGGGCAGACAAGAAGCAGCATGCAGAAAGTCTTCTGTATTCTTAAATTATCCAGAAGACAGTGTTTTTAAATGATGCCAGCCAACTCAAGGAAGGCCATTCTATTACCCACACCCAGAACCATGCTGAACCAATTAGTGGGCTAATCTATCACACACAGTCTTAATCCAAATATCACATAGCCTGGATCTAGCCACCTCCAAAAAAAACCACACCAGTGAATTCATGAGACATTGGGGGGGTACATCTAAAAACAAGGTACAACACTAACCAAAACCTTAAACTAAATACTACTGTAGACCTAGACTTTACCTTAACCCTACACCTAAACTTAACCCTAACATGAACATTAATCCTAACCCTAACTCTAACCCCCACCCGAACATATTCCCAAGCCCTAGCCTTTCCTACCCCTAGCCCTAAACTTAACACCAAATTTAACACAAACATTACTCTAAACCTAGCCCTAATATTACCACTAACCTTAGCCCTGGACCAAGACCAAACCCTAACATTAAACCAAAACATAAACTAGCCTTTGATGTATCCATGACTCTAACAGTAAACCCAATACTCAAACCAAGCCCTAACCCTAACCTTACCCTAAACAAAATACTAAACCTAACCATAACAATAAACCTAGCATGATCAATAACAGTGACCCCAAATCTCAGCCTAAACATAGCATTTGCAATAGACATGATTTTTAGACTAAACTTAAACATCATCATAGTTCTAAACTTAGCACTGCCCTTCATTTTAAACATAAACCTAACATAACCCTAGCAATAGTCCTAAATAGAGCTTTAGCATATCCTTAAACCTAATACCAACCATTGCCCTAACCCTAAACTTTGCTGTAGTCCTAGGACACAGTCTAAACCTAGCGCTACACTAAAACCTAACCCTAATCCCTAACAATAACCCAAAACCTAGCCCAAGTTTACTCTTAAACATAATCTAAACCATAAAGCTAATCCTATTTGAAAACTTAAATAAAAATCTACCTTATACCCAGAACATATATAAACCAGGCCTTAATCTTGTTGGTTTTTTGTTTTTGTTTGTGTTTTATACCAGGGATTGAAATCAGGACGTGGCACTTACAAGGTAAGCAGCAGCACCACTGAGCTAAATCCATGGCCTTGGCCCGAATCTTAACAATTAACTTAATTTTCAATCTAGCCCTTGAAAAACATAAGTCATAAGCCTAATCTTAACACTAACCTGACACAAAATTTAACCTTAACGATAACCCTAAGTAACATTAGGCAACCATAACCTGAATCTTAGACCTGCACTAATTTATCACTAACCCTAACCCTAAATTCAATTCTAACTATGCTAGACCTAGATTTAGACTTAGCCTGAGTTATAGCACTAACCCTAAGTGTAAGCCTAACCCTAACCATGACCCTAATTCTAGCCTTGATCTAACTCTAGCCCTAAATTTAAACTTAATCAAAACCTTAACGCAAATTCTAGCTCTAGCCCTAATCTTAAACATAAATTAAACCTAATACTAAAGATAACCCAAAGTCTAACCTTAGTCCTACCTTTAAACTTAATCTGAAAGCCAAATCTTAGCTCTAATCCTAGCCTTAATCCTAGCCTTAGTAATAACCTCAACCTAACACAAACCCTAGCCTTAGCCCTAGCCTTAGGTTTAACTTTATCAGTAACCCTAACACTTTCTAAACCTACAAGTAACTCTAAATTTAACCATAACCCTAGCTCTAAGTGGAACACTAAACCTAAAGCTAATGCATGCCTTACTCTATCCATAGATCTAAGTCTATCCCTAACTGCAAAAGCAAATATGCCCATAATATTGACCCTAATTTAACGGTAACTGCAACCCCAGCCCAAGACTTAGGCCCAGCCCTATTCCTAACTTTAAACCTAACACTAAGCCCAAGCCTAACCCTAACTTTAAAACCTAACCTTAATTCTAGCACTAGCCTTAGCTCTCACTATAACCAGAGCCCTAGCCCTAGTAAAATTTTAAACTAGACCTAGTCATAACACTAGTCTCTCACTAATACAGATTTTTAACACCAAACTTATCACTAGTCCTATCCCTAAACTTGACATACTCATAGGGCTAGCACTAACCTTAACCCTAGTCTTAACTTGAAACTTATTCTAAAAGTAAACATAAAACAAAATCTAACCCTAACTATAACTATGGTGTAACCTTAACTTTAAAAATAAACACTACTTCATCCTATCATTAACCATACCATAATCCTAATTTTACACAACCTTAACCCTAATCCTAACCATGAGCACTAGCACCAATCCTAAACCTAGCTCAAATCCTAAACTTAATAAATCTAACACTAATTCTAAACCTAGATCTAGCACTAGCCCTAACACTTAAATCTAACCCTAAATATAATCCTAGCCATACATTAACTCTAATCATAGTTCTATACTTAGTCCTAACTCTAAACCAACATTCACTCAATCACTAACTGTAACACTAATCTTAGACTTAGTTCTAACCCTAGCCCTAACCCCATCTCTATCCCCCAACTTAACCCGAAGCCTAATCCTAAACCCTAGTCTTTATCCTACCATACCCTAATCCTAAACTTAACCATAGCCCTCACACTAATCCTATGCTATGACAAATCTAGATGTCCCACAAAAGCCTCATGTACCCAGAGGTGGAGCTTTTTGGAGATGACTAGATCTAGGGTGTGTGATGCTGGGATCAAGGGTGATAATAAATTAGTCCACTGATTGGAATTAGCATAGTTCTGGGCAGCATCACCCAATATATGGCAGCCTAGATACTATAAAAGAGAAAGGCAGGAAGGCTGCTTGCTGATTCTTGTTTGTTGCCTTCTGTCTGCCACGTTATGTACTGTATCTCCTCTGTGATACTCCTCTCTTATGCCATGCTGTCTTGGACCGAGCTGACTATGGAATTAAACCCTACAAACTGAGATGATATAAACTTTTCCTCCTTTAATTTTTGTTGTCAAGTCTCAGCAAAGGAAAAAGTAACTAAGACACCCAAGCATTAACTGTAAGACTAGTCCTAAAGCTAACACTACCTATAACCATAAACATGTCCATAAACCAAACCTAAACTGTAAGTATTGTAACCCTAATTCTAACTTAACACTAACCCTAACTCAAACCTTAACCTTAAATCTAACCCTAGCCTACCAATAGTGCTAAACGTAACTTACCTTGAACGCTAATCCTAAATTTAACCCTAAAAGCAGTCCTAACACTAGCCCATGCCTCAGCCTTTGCCATAATATTAACTCTAACCCAAACCTTAAGATAAGAACTAATCTAGATCTAAGTTTAACCCTATTCTAAACCCTATTCTTAACCCTAGCCTGCAGCTAGACATAGCCATAAAACTAGGTCAAAGCATGAACATTAGCACAGACATAGACCTAGACCCAACAATAACCTTAAAGTTAACACTGAAGTTACACTAACTCTAACCATAAACTTAAAAAAAAAAAAAACCTAACCCTAATTCTATCCCCATCCTTAAGCCGAGGGTTAACCCTAACCGTAGCACTAAACCTAACCCTAATTATGCATCTAAACCTAAAATGAACACTAGCCAGAGCTTAACCCTGAGTAACCTTAAAACTAATCATTAGCCTATCACTACTCTGCTCTTCACCCTAGACTTAACCTTATCTCTACACCTAGTATGCACATTAACCCTAATGGTAGACACTGCGATATCATAAGATCTGGCATTATCCTAAATTTAATTATAACTTTAGCACTAAAATTTACACTAGGCTTAGAAATATTCCTACCCTAAAACTACAATAACTCTAAAGCTTATAATTAACACCCTAAACCTAAAAAGATGTAATCCTAGCCTCATGGTAAATATGTCCTTACCCTTAAGCCTAAACATAAACCTAGCACTAGACCAAAATTTATGCCTAGACCTAATCCTAAAATTAATGTGAACCTTTATTCATTTATTTATTTGTTGGTACCAGGGAACAAATTTGTGCTTGTGAGGCAGGTGTCAGAACCACTGAGCCAAATCCCTGGCCCAGTGAACCTTTATTTTAACACTAGCCTTACATCTAACCCTAACACAAGCCCTAACCCTAAGCCTACAACTAAACCTAGCATTAATCCTAATCCTAACTCTAACCCTAACCCAATCCTAACCATAATCCAAAATCTTAATTTAACCCTAAACCTAACCTAAACTCTAACCCTAGCACTAAAAAGCCTTATCCTTGACCCAAGCCCTAACCTTAAACCAACCTCTGACCCTAGATGTAAATTTACAGCTAAATCAAATCCTAACCCTAAGCTTAATGATAGCCCAGAATCAAGCCCTAGTCCTACCCCACACCTTAAAACTAGCCATAATTCTAATCCTGATCTTAATCTTAGACCTAGCTCTCATCCCATCCATAGCCCCAACCTGAACCCTAAGCATAAAAATATCCAAATTGGTAATTCTAACCTTTGCCCCAACCCTAACTCAAACTCTACCCCAAACTTGATGCTAGCCCAAGCCCTGGCCCTAACTTTAACACTAACCCTAAAGCTAAAAATAATCCTAATAGTAACTCTAGACTTAGCACTAACTCTAACAATAGCATTTACCAAAGCTAAACCCTAGCCCTAACTTAATCCTATCCTTAACCTTACAGCAAGCCCTAGTCTTTTCCTTATACATAGGCATTACCTTAATTCTAAACCCAGTAATAAACTTCAAGTTAATAATGTCCACAACAATCAACATAAACCTAAACTTACCCATAGCATTAAATATAGCCTTAGGCCTAGACAGAGCCTGAGCCCTATGCAAAACCAAATTTTAGGCCTACCCTAGACCGGACATTAATCTTAACTTGAACCTGAATATAAACCTAACCCTATCCTTACCACTAACCCTAATCGTAGCTCTAACTCTAATGTTAGCCCAATATAAAGCCAATACCCTAAATCTAGCAATACAAGTAAATCTCACCCTAACGCTAACACTAATTCTAGCATGAGTCCTACCTTTAACCCTATCCCTAACCCAAACCCTAACCCTAGGCCTAGACCTAGACCAGTCCTAATCTTAACCCTAAGTATAAAGTTAAACCTAGAAATAGACCCAGCACTAGACCTAGCCGAACCCTCCACTTAAAACCAATCTATGACCATAACAATAACCATAACATTATTACTAACCCTAAACCTAGCACTACAAGAGGCCTTAGGCTTTCATTAACTAAATCGTAAAACTGAGTCTCAGGCGTAGCCCTAGAATAGCCATAATCATAATTCTAAGACTCCTTATAACTCTAATATTATTCCTAACCCTAGCCCTAGCCCTGGTCCTAAGGCTAGTTCTAGATCTAGACCTAATCTTAAACTACACTAACCCTAACCCTAACCTAGTGCTAGCCTTAGCACTAAAAGAAACTCTACCCTAACTCTAATTCTAAATGGAAATCTAGCTCTAGAACTATCACTAAAATTATCATTAACCATAATCCTAAATCTAACACTAGACCTAGTCCTAGCCCTAAGACTAGCACTAGACCTAGACCTAAACTTAATCCTAACACTAACATTAAATTTAACCAAAACCCTAAAACTAGACCAAACCCTAACCTTAGCTCTAGATCTAGTTGTAACTTCATATCAAACCAAACCCAAACTTAAAACTAACCCTACTGCTAACCCTGGCCTAAAAACTAAACCTACCATTAACCATAACCCTAATTCTAACCAAAACTCTGAGAATAGCACTAGACCTAGCTCTAGCCCTAGATCTATCCATAACCATAATCCTAAAAATAACTCTAATTCAAACTTTATTCCTAGGCCAAGACCTAGACCTAGCACTAAACTGAACTCTAACACAAACCTTAACCTTATACCTAAACTAATCTACACTAACACTAGCCTTAGCTCTAGACTTAGACAAAATTTAACCATAAACCCAAAACCAAGTCTAACCATAGCCCTAGCCCTAGCTTCAGAACTATCTCCAAACTAGTATAATCCTAACACTAACTCTAAACCTAAACCTACCTATAGCCATATACCTCACAAAAGCTCTAACCCTAATCTTAAATATAACTCTAAGCCAAGCAATAGACCTAGATTTAGTCTTAGCCCTAGTACTGACTTCAATATATGCCTAATCCTAACCAAAACCACAAATAATAAATCTAGGAATCTATCTTTAGACCTAGTCCTATCTCTAACCTGAGCCCTCTGGGTCTAACCCTAACTCTAAGCCTAACTCCAAAAATAGGCACAGCTATATCCAAGGCCCTAGACCTATCCATAAATGTAATTCATTCCTGAAACTACTCCTAACCCTAATACAAGTCCTAACATAGAAGTCAACTCTAACACTAGCTGTAGAAATAGCTATAACCCTATCCTAACACTAACTCAAATCTTAACCCTAATCAATGCTCTAAATTTAGCCTAATGCTAGCCCTAGCACTAGCAGTACTCTAATCCTAATCTACCCTTAATATGAACCCGACCCCTAACATTCACATTAACCCTAAACATAACACCAAACCAAGTACTAGCTGTGGCCCTAACCCTAAAACTAACACTAACCCTAACTAATTACTAACTATAAGCATAACATCACTCTAGCCTTAGAATTAAAATTAACTCTAATCATAACACTAATCTACACATAGCTCTAACCAAACCCCACACCAAGCTCTAACCTTAACCCTAAATCTAATCCCATGAACTTAGCTCTAGTTTAGCCCTAACATTAACTCTAAGCCTAAACCTAAACCTAAATTTACCCATGTCCCTAATTCTAAACCTCAGCCTAACTCTAACTTTGATTATAACTTTAGTGGAAATGTAACCCTAACCCAAAACCTAACGCTAGCATTAAATTTAACCCTAATGCTAAATCAATACCTAATTCTAGTTCTAAACCTAAACTTAACCCTAACAATAACTCTAAACCAAATCCGAAACCAGACCCTAATTTAAAATATAATCATAAATTTAACCCTAGCTCTGGCCCAAAACTTAACTCTAACCTTAAACTAAGCATTAGCCCTAGCCCCATTCCTACCTCTAGGACCAGCTCTAGCTCTTAATTTAAAGCTAAATGAAACCAAACACTAGGCCTAAACCTAATCCTAACCTAACCCTAGACCTAGCCCTAGCCCTTAACACAAACCATAAACCTAGCAATAATGCTAAAATTAACAGTAGCATTAGTCCTAAACCAAACCATCTTCCTAACTGTAACCCTAGCCTATGCTCTAGCAACACTAAGCCTAACCCTAAGTCTAATGCTACCCTAGCATTAACCCTAGCTATATAGCTCTATCTCTAGACCTAGCCTGCATCTAACCTTAAGGCTAACCTATCCCTTATCCCTAACACAGCCTTAACCCAAGGACTAGCCCTAACCTAAATTTAACTCTAATCCTAATGTAAACTCCAAACCCAGCACAATTCTTAGCCTTAATACTAGCAATAACCCTAAAATTTAACCTTAACACTCAGTCTAAACCTAACCAAGACCTAGCTATAACCCCTCCAGCCCTCATGTCAAAACTAATCCTAATCATATTCCTGACATTAAAAATAAACCTAGCCCTAGCCCTAGCCAAAATCCTAAACATAACCATAACATTTACCCTAACTCTAGCCGTAGCATTAGTCCTAACCCTATCACTAACACTAAGCCTGCCACTAGCCCTAACTCCAGCCTCAACCTATTACTAGTCAAGCCCTATCTTTGAACCTAACCATAATCCTAAATATGGACCTAAAATAAACCTAACCCTAAACTTAACCCTAGTACAAATCTAAACACTAGTTCTATCCCTAGCCTGAGCACTAACCTTAACACTAAACCTGTCCCTAGTCCTAGCCAAAGACCAAGCACCAGCTGTAACATTAACCTGAACCTTAACACTAACATTAACCATAAATATAGTGATAGCCCTAATTCTAACCCCTCCTAACCCTAACACAAACCTTAACACAAACCCTATCCTGACAACTAGCCCTAGCCCTAACATTAACTTTAACACTAACACTAAATCTAAACATAATCCTAACTTTAATTCTAGAGCTATCCATAACCCCAACAATAGCATTAAACTAATCACAAACCTAAATCTAGTCACAACCTAGACTCAACTATAGCACTAGCCCTAACCCTAGGCCTACCTCTAACTGTAACCCTAACCCTAACATTAACTCAAAGAAACAATAACATTAATACTAATACTAACACTAACACTAACACTAACAAGCACTAACTCTCTTCCAAAACTAACCTTAACTCTGGTGGAACCCTAAAACTAACCCAAACACTAACTTTAATGCTAGCACTAAACCTAGAGAAAACTTAACTCTTGTTCAAGCCATAGCACGGGCCGTATTTCTAACTTAACCCTAAAAATGGTTACACCATATCTCTAGACCTACCCCAAGCTCTCATGTTAAACCTAATCCTGTCCTAACCACAACATTAACTATAAACCTACCACTAGCCTTATCCCTAATCCTAAATATAACCATAATCCTTACCCTAACTCTAGCTCTAGCATTAGTCCTAACCCTGTTCCTAACACTAAGCTCAAGCCCCTAATCCTAGTCTTATACTTACCCCTTTCCCTAGTCCTAATGATCATGGAAACCTGACCCTAAACCTAACACAAAGCCAAAAATCCTATGCTAGGCCTAATTCTAATTCAGGTGGAAACATAATATTAACTGTAATCCTAATTATAAAACTAACCTTAATAATAACAGCATTCCCTAGCAATCCCTAACCTTAATCCTAAACTTAAACTTAACACTTAGTGTAACCCTGACCATAACTGAAGCCCTGAGAGAAATCTAACCCTAACCCTAACACTGGCCTTGTCCCTAAACCAAATCCAGGTGGAACCCTAACATATCCACATCCCTAAGCCTATCCCTAGCCCTAGGCCTAAGCTTAACCATTATTCTAAAACACTAATTCAATACCTGGAGTTTAACTCTGGTGTTAGCCTTAGATCTAGAACCTAACCCAAAAATTACCCTAAACATAGTGGAAACCTACCTGTAGCATTGTCTTTAGCTCTAAACCTAACACTAAACTAATCCTCACACTAATTCAGGTGGAAATTTAACCATAATATCAACATTAATCCTGAACTTAACCCTGCCCTTAACTCTAAGGCTGGTGGAATCTTAACCCTAGCTCCATTCCTGGACCTAGGCCTAACCTACACCTGACTATAGCACAGTCTGATTTGAAATATAACAGTAAAATTAACATTTACCCTAACACTAGCTGTAACTGGTCAAACCTAGTTTTAGCCCTAGCCCTAAGCTTACTCTAGACCTAAGAGTTGAGATAACCCAAGCAATGAAACTAAATACAATGCTAGCTATAGCCCTAATCCTAACTCTAATGTAAAACTGGTGGAAATTAACCCTAAACTGACCATAAAACTAAGTTTACCCTAACTCTTAAATGGGAGTGCCTAGATCTAGAATTACACCTAGATCTAGACCTAGCCCTAGCCCTAACACTAACCCTAACCCTGACTTAAAACCTAGTCACAATTCTAACTCTAACACTAACCCTGGTCAAACCCTAACAGCAGTCATAACCCTAACATACACCATGACCCTAATCCTAAACCTGGAGGACCCTAGCCATTGTTTAACACAAATTCCAAGCCTAAACCTAGCCTTATATGTAACTATAGCCCTAGATCCAGATCTAAACCTAAACTTAGCTATAAATATAACCCTAACCTGAAACTAAACCTTAACCCTAAAACTAACTCTGGTGCAACCCTAAACATAACCCAACATTATCCCCATTCCTACCCATAAACATAGCCCTGTCATAACCCTCACTGTAACATGAACCATAACTGTAACTAAACATAACTCTAAATCCAATCTGAAACCTAACAATAATACCAACACTTACCCTAACCCTAGCCCTAGCCCTAGCCCCAGCCATAGTCATAGCCTTATCCCTAGCACTAGCCCATGCCCTAGCCTTGACATTCACCTTATGGTTCCTTTGCCAGTGTTAGGAGGACCCAGCAAGCATGTACCTGGCCCCAGCTGATATCACCAATGGCTGAGCCCTGCACTGGACCCAGGAGGACCCAGGAAGCATATGTCCTGCTCTCAGCTGACATCAACACCCACTAGACCCTACACTGAACCCAGGAGGACCCAGGACCCATAAGTCCTGCCTCCAATCCTGGGGTTTTCCAAAACACAGGGCAACAGAGTTGAAAACCAACACACCAACCTGATCAAAGATGGGACCAATACATCGAGGAGGAGAGTTTTGCTTCAAGACTGAAATGATACTCTCCACAGAGGGTATCCACAGTGACTAAGAGACAGCCCTGGGAGATAGGCTTGGAGAGGGTGAGACTAAATAGGGATCTCTTTGGATCCTCTGGGAGGCGTGAGTTCATATCAGAAACTTCATGGGACCTGTATTGTGTTGTGGAAGACCAGGTTTGGTGGGAGTAATTGTCAGAGGGGGCAGTCCTGAAGCTGTGGAACTGCTGCCAACATCCAGCAGAAAATAGTGCTCTGAATTACTTTAGGTTAATATAAGGGGTGCCTAATTATCTTCATTAAAATCAGAATCCTCTATGTTTTAATAAAAGGCTGGTCATGGGTGTTTCTTAGGGTTTGTCAATATCTGGCTGACATTTGATATATTGCTGATGCTAAATTTACTTTCATAGACAAGGTAACATAGTAGTGGCCAGCAATTGGTTTTTATCTCTATACCAATACCTGGGTTTCAGGGGGAAGGATAAGTGCCATAAACAATACTGTGGCTCACTCCTGAAGAATAGGGCACTGGGCCAAAGACTTTGAAAACCATAGCACAACAAACAAACAAACAAAAACAGAAACATGAAAAGGCAAGGCAAAAAATGCCTCCAAAAACTTCCAACTCCCCAAAACTGATACAGCAGACATTGAGGAGGAAATCATAAACCACATAGCAGAGAGGTCTAAAATGGTACCATTGGAGACAAAACAATTCTATAAAGTGCTTGGCAAATTTAAAGATGATATAGCTAATCACATAATGACCATAATGAAACAAATGATCAGCAAATCTAAAGAAGACACTAATAAACATTTAGAGGAGCTAAATAAAGAGATGCAATATATGAATAGATAGCAGAGAAAAGAATGGGAGTCCACAAAAAAGTTCTAAACAGAAATATGAGATTAAAAACACGATTGAAAGTATGGGCTGCAGAAGTGACCAATGTGAAGACTGTCAGACCTAGAGAACAGGGACATATGCAATCAATGATCAATTAATGATAGATTCCTTAAAAACAAAAAGAATATGAAAATAGACCCAATGGCTCTTGGATAACTCAAAGAGTATTAACATAAGAGTAATTGGAATTAGTGAAAAATCAGAGAGTACAAGGTTATGAAAAACCTGTTTACACAAGTAAACAGAAAATCTTTTCAGACATGGAAAAAGAATTTAACATACAGATAAGTGAATAATATAGAATTTCAAATACCCATGATCAGAAAAACAAAAAACAAAAAACAAAAACACTCCATGTTGCATACTAATTAAATACCCTCCCCCCAAAAAATCACCCACAGGAACAGAATCATAAAAGCTGTTAGAGAAAAGCAATGAATCACCCATTAAGGAAAACCTATTAGAACTACAATAAGGCTTGCTGGTTCTGCTTGCTGTCTTCTGCAATGGTCTCCTACCATGCCACCCTGCCTTGCTTTCCTCTCTCTTCCAAGGAATCTGGGGAAGGAAGAGGAAGTAGAGAAGTGGTTGTTAACTCAATCTCCTGTTTGGGAGGGGCTGGAGAAGCAGGGAGAATGTGGGTATGTGGTGGAGAGACACAAGATGGCAGAGATGAGGAAGGGTCAAAAGATGACACAGGTTAGGTGGGGTCTAATCAGAAATGAAGATTGCTCCAGGTATCAATGAACTAATTGTACAGTTGGAGAGAAGCAAATAAATGAACACAATTTAGTTTCATAAATGAATTCAGCATTGAAGCCATGAGGACCCCAGATTTTCTTCACTGTCTGGGCATTTTAGAAGCAGGGATTCCAAGAGAAGATCCCAAATAGGACTTACTTATACTGGTAGAACACAGTATTCACAAAATGGCATTCAAGAAAATCAAGTGATTGATCATAGAGCAGACTGGAGAGGAATGCCTAGCCGTGCAGGTGTCTCTGCAGTATCATCTCCCCTCAACCCTTATACTCTTGGGCCTCCTGCTTGTGCCAGTACCTGGATCCACACTGCAGAGGCACAGGTAGTCATAAAGTCCATTTTACTTAGCTCCAGAAGATAGAACAGAAGTAAACAACTGCAATAAAGGCACATCAAACCTCCATAGTTGGTAAGTTGGAGTGATCACCACCTTCCATCAGAACTTGGATCATCTTCAGGGGAAGGGCAGCATGAAACTGTAGTAGAAACTTGCAGAGTTCAACCCTGCAGGAGGTCAGGGAGTTCAACTTGGGCCTTGCAGCCAGAATTCAGCCTAAATCTAAGGGGTCTGCTGTCAGCTAGCTGAGACTAACTGACTTAGTTCTTTGCACATTGTTGCCCACATTGTCTATTGTGACAGCAGAAATATACCCTGAAAGAGGCTCTTCAAATTTTTTTTCTTTCTTTTCTTTATATTTTTAATTTTTAGTTTTAAAATTTTATTTTTCCCCATTCTACAAATTCTTCCTTTTTTCTTTCTTATTTTTCCTGCTCAGTCTCTTGCTCCCCCAGGTTATTCTTCATCTCCCTTTTTGCTCAGGTTCCTGCCCTAATTCAGATTTCTTCCTTCTTTTTCTTTTCTTCTCTCTTTTTCTTTCACTTGAGTGTCATTAGTTTCAAAGAAAAATGAGTGTAATTTATAGCTTCCCTATTACTGTTAAATTATTCTATTCTTGTCTTTGTTCTTGCACTCTGTCTTTCCCTTTTCTCTTCAACAGTTTTCTAGAGTTTGTGTGATCATTCTTTGTCCTCTGGCTTCACTTGAAACCTTCTCCAATTCTTCTACCACACCATTCCTCTCCTGCTAACTCCTTATAAGTTTCCATCCTGATGGGCAAACTTGCTATATTGAAGAGTTTATTCACTATAAACATATTTTGGGCTGGTCCTCAATTTTGATTTAATTCACATGATTTAAAGGGGATAGATTAATTATTATCACAAATGGTCAATTTCTAAGCTGCGCTTAATGCTATTGTGCCATAGATTATATTAATTGGGCTAAAGAGTTGTGATTGATTTAATGAGTTGTCATTTATGATATTATGAAAATGAGTGTCTATGAGACATTAGAGACCCAAAACCTAAAGAGCAGCTATAACAAGAAGATCAAAGTACTAACTCAGGAATTAAACCAAGGCTAGCACAACAACAAAAATAAAAATGAAAAAACACTTTAAGCAAGGCAAATTCTAGGGGAAATGAGGTGGTAAAGTCTTATAATCAACCACCAAGACTCCCTGAATTCATAGCACAGGAAGCAACAAAACAGATCAATCAGGTTCTAGAAAAATTCAAAACAGAAATAATTTCCCAGATAACTACAGAGATGCTGTTGTGAAAGAATTGTACCCTTCTCCATTGTTGGTGGGAGTGCAGGCTGGTGCAACCACTATGGGAATCAATATGGAGATACCTCAAAGAGCTGGGACTACAGGTTCCATTTGACCCAGCCATCCCTCTGCTGGGTATCTTTCCAAAAGAATTAAAAGAATCATACCACAGTGATATATGCACACCAATGCTTATAGTGGCACAGTTTGTAATAGCTAAATCTTGGAAACAGCCCATTTGACCATCAGTTGGAGACTGGATAAAGAAGATGTGGTTTTTCTATAAAATGGAATCCTACTCAGCCATAAAGAATGATAAATTAGGATCACCGGT